ATAGGGTCTACTGTACACGCTCTCTACTTCATGTGGTATTGGGCCTACTGTACACGCTCTCTACTTCATGTGGTATAGGGCCTACTGTACACGCTCTCTACTTCATGTGGTATAGGGCCTACTGTACACGCTCTCTACTTCATGTGGTATAGGGCCTACTGTACACGCTCTCTACTTCATGTGGTATAGGGCCTACTGTACACGCTCTCTACTTTATGTGGTATAGGGCCTACTGTACACGCTCTCTACTTCATGTGGTATAGGGCCTACTGTACATGCTCTCTACTTCATGTGGTATAGGGCCTACTGTACATGCTCTCTACTTCATGTGGTATAGGGCCTACTGTACAAGCTCTGTACTTCATGTGGTATAGGGCCTACTGTACACGCTCTCTACTTCATGTGGTATAGGGCCTACTGTACATGCTCTCTACTTCATGTAGTATAGGGCCTACTGTACACGCTCTCTACTTCATGTGGTATAGGGCCTAGTGTACACGCTCTCTACTTCATGTGGTATAGGGCCTACTGTACACGCTCTCTACTTCATGTGGTATAGGGCCTACCGTACACGCTCTCTACTTCATGAGGTATAGGGCCTACTGTACACGCTCTCTACTTTATGTGGTATAGGGCCTACTGTACACGCTCTCTACTTTATGTGGTATAGGGCCTACTGTACACGCTCTCTACTTCATGTGGTATAGGGCCTACTGTACACGCTCTCTACTTTATGTGGTATAGGGCCTACTGTACACACTCTCTACTTCATGTGGTATAGGGCCTACTGTACACGCTCTCTACTTCATGTGGTATAGGGCCTACTGTACATGCTCTCTACTTCATGTGGTATAGGGCCTACTGTACACGCTCTCTACTTCATGTGGTATAGGGCCTACTGTACTCGCTCTCTACTTTATGCTACACATGTGGTATAGGGCCTACTGTACACGCTCTGTACTTCATGTGGTATAGGGCCTACTGTACACGCTCTCTACTTCATGTGGTATAGGGCCTACTGTACACGCTCTCTACTTCATGTGGTATAGGGCCTACTGTACACGCTCTCTACTTCATGTGGTATAGGGCCTACTGTACACGCTCTCTACTTCATGAGGTATAGGGCCTACTGTACACGCTCTCTACTTTATGTGGTATAGGGCCTACTGTACACGCTCTCTACTTTATGTGGTATAGGGCCTACTGTACACGCTCTCTACTTCATGTGGTATAGGGCCTACTGTACACGCTCTCTACTTTATGTGGTATAGGGCCTACTGTACACGCTCTCTACTTTATGTGGTATAGGGCCTACTGTACACGCTCTCTACTTCATGTGGTATAGGGCCTACTGTACACGCTCTCTACTTCATGTGGTATAGGGCCTACTGTACACGCTCTGTACTTCATGTGGTATAGGGCCTACTGTACACGCTCTGTACTTCATGTGGTATAGGGCCTACTGTACTCGCTCTCTACTTTATGCTACACATGTGGTATAGGGTCTACTGTACACGCTCTCTACTTCATGTGGTATAGGGCCTACTGTACACGCTCTCTACTTCATGTGGTATAGGGCCTACTGTACACGCTCTGTACTTCATGTGGTATAGGGCCTACTGTACTCGCTCTCTACTTTATGCTACACATGTGGTATAGGGCCTACTGTACACGCTCTGTACTTCATGTGGTATAGGGCCTACTGTACATGCTCTCTACTTCATGTGGTATAGGGCCTACTGTACACGCTCTCTACTTCATGTGGTATAGGGCCTACTGTACACGCTCTCTACTTTATGTGGTATAGGGCCTACTGTACACGCTCTCTACTTCATGTGGTATAGGGCCTACTGTACACGCTCTCTACTTCATGTGGTATAGGGCCTACTGTACACGCTCTGTACTTCATGTGGTATAGGGCCTACTGTACACGCTCTCTACTTCATGTGGTATAGGGCCTACTGTACACGCTCTCTACTTCATGTGGTATAGGGCCTACTGTACACGCTCTCTACTTCATGTGGTATAGGGCCTACTGTACTCGCTCTCTACTTTATGCTACACATGTGGTATAGGGCCTACTGTACACGCTCTGTACTTCATGTGGTATAGGGCCTACTGTACACGCTCTCTACTTCATGTGGTATAGGGCCTACTGTACAAGCTCTCTACTTCATGTGGTATAGGGCCTACTGTACACACTCTCTACTTTATGCTACACATGTGGTAAAGGGCCTACTGATCTTATATTGTGGACATACTTCCTTATATCTCATATATTTAAGCTTCCTTCCTACCATGAAATGTAAGGTTCTGTTTTATCAATATTTGCAGATTTTGTCACCATTTCTATAACAGCCCCTATTTTCTTTAACATTTTCTCATAGAGCTACCTTTTTGATATCTTATTTTGCCCAAGCACCTTAACAGTAGAGGAATTTGTAAATAGATAACTTGATAATTTATGCATTCCACCTTTTGGAAGTGTGATTATCTCAGCACAAAATTCACTACCATTTAATTTTTCCTTACTGAAATGTGCAGATTGGTTTACAGTAATTAGATTTCACCTTTTGTACAGTTTTGTGTCTACAATTTGTTGTGTTTGCATGTCTGCAAAATGCATGTTGCAGGTTACAGGTACTTGTTTTCAGTTGTGGACTGATGAGATATTGACCCATGCTTATGATCTGCTTTTTTTCTTGGTCCATTCATACAAGCAATCCAGAGGAATTTATGTAAAGCTCAGTTTAGAAGAATGCAATAGTTTTTAAGCTGTGTCTAATAATGCAGTCAACCACAATGTCTCTAGTTATTACAAAATTCGTCTTAGTATCACACACCCAGCATGCTATTTGCCAGTGCACTACATGCTCCTGGCTCTACCTTCAGATGCCACTAACAATAACCATACAAATATGAATTTAAAGAAAAAACAATTTGAATAAAATATATTTAAAACACAATATAAACCAACATTATAATCTCACAAACAAATAAGCTGTATTTATAAACAAATACTGTATAATTTGACCATGTCTGCACCTAGAAGATGAATTAAGAATTTTTTCTACTCCTAAGTATACATCATATTTAAGGTGGAGAGGATATATTTTGTATTATCGGGCACAAAATGACACTTTTGGTGTGTTATGGAGCAATTTTTACTTTCTGATATACAGAGCATAAAGAAAGTAATGTAATCTTGCAAAAAAAAAAAAATCGAGATTTTTGCAAACCTTGACGTTTTACACTTCCCTGAGTCGGAAAAACATAGTTTTGCAATCTTGTCTGTATGTATGTGTGTCTGTGACCATGATAACTTGAGTACCGATACAGCTAGTTTGATGAAATTTCATATATAAGTATTATATCAAATTTGTAGTTCTGTATCAACTTTTCAGCAATTTCCGATAACCGGACGTGGAACTTATTCTACTTTGAATTTTTCAAAAGCCTATAACTTGAGTACTGTTTCTAATAGATAAATAAAATTGCACATGTAAGTAAAAGATCTAATTCTCTGCCTTCTTTCAACTTTTGAGTAATATTCCACACTATTATACACATTTTGTTTGGCGTTCACTTAGTGCACAATTCTTTTTTTCTAGATTCTATTTTATTTTAAAAAGTTTAAGTAATAAATTTTGTCTATATCCCGAGTTGCCATCCCCGTAGTGTTATATAAGAATATTCGAGAAAGTTTAGGAGAGATCACTCCCGGTTTATTTAATTTTGCTTTCCAAGTATGAAAACTTAGGTTCCAAGTTTGCTGCAGCTGGCAGAAACCTGGATTCCACAGTAAAGAAAGCCAGTAAATGATTCATTCATTTGCTTACAATTTCTAATCTTCTTCTTATAAACTCTATTAAAACACTTGTAAATAGTATCTTTTCATTTTGTTTCCTTTTAAGTAATTTCAGTTATTTTTCGTTTAAAATGAAGTGTCAAAAGTGAATAGTGTGTAATGATAATCTTTATTTAATAATAATATATATATATATATATATATATATAAATATATAAATATATAAATATATATATATATATATATATATATATATATATATATATATATATATATATATATATATATATATATATATATATATATATATATATATATATATATATATATATATATATATATATATATATATATATATATTGCTATTTGGCGCCGCAGGCTTTCTCATGAGTGCTTTGGCGCATAAGTTTGTTTTAAAGACAAAATAGAGTATGAATACTGTGGGTTACTATAGTGCTCACTAAATAAAATCAGGCGTGTCCTTCTGCACCTCGGCAAGATGTTATTTAGTGCTTCGGGCTTTCCCATGAGCGCTATGGCGTCTCTGTTCATTTGAAACATTGCAATAGACTATGGATCAGACAGGGTATTACAATTGTTCACTAAATTAAATCAAGCATCTGCCGGTGCCCTTGCAAGGTGTGATTTGGTGTCCGGGCTATCCTGTGAGCACTATGGTGCTTACTTTCTTTTTAAAGAGTCCCTAGAATATTGACATGGTGGCATACAACATTGGATGATTAAACTGAGCCAAGGGCCGTACTCTGACCCCTGTTGTAATGTAACTGAGGGCTCCAGAGAGTGCCTGCTACATCCCTAACACCGGGGCAGTTGCCAAACTGTTACAGAGAGTGATTAACGTACACTCAAGGCTTTCATACAGCAGATGATGGGCGTGCTCAGCGGTAGTGTGGGCAAACCCATGCTCCAACAAATACGATAAATATAGTGCAGGCATTTGTTTACATTTAAACAACTCAGTTTCTGAAAACAAGGTCATGCATCTAAGAACATAGGATTGGTAAAGCATCGATGAAATCCTCTTAAAATATTATGTCAGATTTTCTTTTGAGGGACTTTATTCAATTCTTTTTGCCTTTTAAAAATAACAACAGAAAAACATGTTAATTAAAAAACTGTTAAATAGTAAAAACATAGCATTTAAAAATGTGGAATAAAGAAATAATATTACATTGTTATAATATAGAATAAGATAGAATGAGATTTTAAAAATGAATGAGTTTAGGATTTCATGAAATTGTTGGTTTTTTTTTTTTTTAGTTTAGTTTTGAATACATTTTCAGATTTAGTCTTATTTTTAAAATAAATAAATAAGATAAATAACATTTAAATACAAAACATAAAAACAAACAGCTTTTAACAATTTTTATTTGTGCATTTAAGCATTTGATGTTATACAGATAATTAAAAAAGTATTACTTAATTATTAAACACAGATTTGCATTTTAAAAAACACCTTTGGTAGGCCTTCACTGACACAGTGTTTATTATATGTGACTGACTTTGTCTTCATGCCAGAGAAGAATAAATCTGATTGTTTGATTTGTATTCTCATGTACTTAAACGGCCTACATCTTCTTAGTTTATATAAATGTAAACCTGGCTAATGCTTGAATGTAAGCTTTTTCTGTCTTCCATCTGTACAGTAGTACTTCCATTTCCAGCTGGATTTCATTCATTGGTTGCCACTGTATTGAAGATTGTTTCATTAAAACAAAGCTTGTTAAGTTCTGTCACAATTTCTAAAATAATTATCTTAATTTTATCTTTGTATTAAAACAAAAGGTGTTACTTTCTCTACTGCTTTAAGTTTTGTTACTCTATCCAGTGTACAAAACTTGCATAGTTTAGTTTTATTTTAATATGATGCTCTAATACATCATTTTTTTCATTATAACAATTTGAATTTAAATCACAGTGTGTGTAAATCTTGTCTCTGTGATTGTGAGATCTTTTTAAGAACAGATGATAAACTGCAGGTTGAGTTCACAATTTTATTTACAATAATTAAATCCACAGTTCATTTTTGTAATCAACATCCACCATAGCATTTATTTAGCACTAACCATCAAATAAGTACTTGAATACATAAGTTATAATTTAAGAATCACAGGAACAATACTGGATACTTTAGAGCACACCTTCATTCATGCTAACAGTGAACAAAAGTAGTTTCCCCTTGCATTTATTTTGGTGGTTTCCCAAACATCTCATTCACCAGGTTATATACACTCTAATTTTTGTACAGAAAAGCACTAAAACACAACGATTGATCACTCACCTATTACAGTCTGTTACAACTTACAATGAGCCATTGATTAACTTTTAAAAATCCATGTTAAATATGCATTAACTCATACTTTCCTAAAAGTTTATTTAAGGGACTTAATCACTTTATTTTACTGATATTTATTTCATAGAACTTTTGGTACAATGATTCAAAAGACAACTAATTATTAATTACTAATTCTTTATGGTATCCTTAAACAGATGTCCACTCAGGGCTATAAGAGGACAAGTTTTGATGAGGATGATTATGCCTCAAATGGCGGTACCCCACCACCAATGGACTTCCCAACTAGTATAGCATTTAAAGGGTATTTCACATATTTTATGTATTTTAAAAAAATAAAATCTGTGACTATTTTTACCTTTTTATTAATAATCTAGGTCTTAACCATACAAATCAAATAAATATTTTTTTTCCAAAAATATTTATTAGCCTATTAAAAGAAAACATTTATATTTATCAACATATCATCAGCATATGCAACTTTCTTTTACTAACTACAATTTATCTAATTTATGTATTCTAATTTTAGGAATAATCTCAGTCTCATCTCATGGAAGCACCGAACAGTCCAAGAGAAAGTTCTACTAGTACTAGTTGCCATTTTGACTACTGTCATTGTCACACTGGCGGGTGTTTTGGCTTTGAAAGATTCAGTGATTAAAGATCTTAATACTCAAGCCAAAAGTAAGGTCATCATATGTTTATTGCCTTGCGGCGTCAAAACGGCCAATGACAAAACGGCCCCGTCATAAGGGCCAATGACATATGGACCCCGTCAAAAAGGGCCAACGACATATGGACCCCGTCATATAGGCTTACGACAAATAGGCTCCCGTCATTTCGACTTCCGACATATAGGCTCCTGTTCTTTAGGCTCCCAACAAATAGGCTTCCGTTATACAATTCTCGACAAAAGAGCTCCAGTCAATAAGGCTACTGACAAATAGGCTCCTGTCATTTAGACTCCCGTCATATAGGCTCCCGTCATTTAATTTCTTGACAAAATGGCCCTTGTCATTACGACTCCCAACAAATAAACTCTCATCATTTTGGCTCACGACAAATAGGTTCCTGTCAATTTGGCTCCCGACTAAAGGACCACTGACAATACAGATTCTGCACAGACTAAGTCTCCCGGCAAAGTGGTCTCATTATATATGTCACCTGCCAGTGGGATCCCTCCATCAATATTCTTTAGAGTTAGCTTATCCAACAGTCTTAAATAATACAACTATGACTTCCATAAATGAGTAGGTTATAGGCTGTTTCAACTCACTGTGTTGGGAGAGGGGTCCACGCTGTACATTCCTACCTGCAGTATGCTTGTAGGTTATCAAAACAAAATGCTGTATCCTGTAAACATCATGTATATCATACATTTGCACTTCTGTGCTCGCTTTTAAGCAACAGATCTTTACTGTTGTAAATTAAACATCAAAATTTTAGAATTAGTGGAATTTAGCTGTTATGGGCCTGATTTGTTTGTGAATTGATTTTGGTTCACAAAAAACAATTTCATTCAGGTATTTAAAAGAGGTTATAGTGGTAGTGGAGGTAGACAAAATGGTTAATGCCAATAGTGGTCATACAAGTTATTTGTCTGGAGCCAGTATGTCGGGAGTCATTTTGTCGGAAGCCAATATGTCTGGAGTTGCTTTGTCAGGAGCCAATATGTCCTGAGCCTATTTGTCAGGAGCCAAGATGTCGGAAGTCCATTTGTCTGGAGCCTATATGTCCAGAGTCAATATGACGGGAGCCCATTTGACAGGAGCCAATGAGTCAGGGCCCTTTTGACAGGGCTATTTTGACTGGTTCGTTTTGTTGGGGGTCATACTAACGGGGCCGTTTTGACGGGGCCGATTTGTCCCGGGCCGTTTTGACATCACAATATCTCAATCAACAAATCCCTTGTATCATCCTGTCAGAAATCTTTTTTTCTCATGCATGTTTGTTTATCCATTATGTTATCTGGAAATAAATTCATGTTTGTTACAATTATAATTTACTAGCATACCCATCACACATTACTGTGATCTAGTCCTACACGCCATACTAACAAACATTTTATAAGGGTATCATCAATGAGGTTACCAGTTGTGTATTTTAAGATGTGTGACCTTGTTTTATTAAACAGGTTTTATTTAAATGTAAACGAAAAACTATTTCTTTGATCTTTTATATTGGTGCAGGTTGTTCATGCTACTACCCAGACACCCCAGGGTGTACCGTATAAAAGCGTTGAGTTTATGTTCATCACCTTTTATAATATTTAGGTAAACACTCCTCGGCAAACATCTGGGTGTAAGGGACATCACTAGGTGCTCTCTCTAGCCACTGTTTGCACTACCGAATGCAATGCAGTAGCCCACTGTGTCCCTAGTGTAGGAGGCTCTATAAAACAAATATAGGAGCCACAATGTTCTAAGGGGAGACCAGCAGGCAATCGGCATCACCCGAATGCTGGGCTAATTTGACAGTTGAGTCACTTAATACCCCTGACCCTTTGCAGAACACTTAATCAAAGGACACCATGTGCTTAGGTAGCTGCTAGGAAACTCTGGATGACCGTGTCCCTACCAAATGCAGGCATCATATTGCTATTGTTGGAGCCCAAGGCACCGGTTCATACGACCGCCAGAGCGCCAGAACATGCCACGTTTGATTTAGTCATCAATTTTTATTATATTCATGGGAGGAGGGCACAGAGCCCAGCGGTCATTCAACTGCCAGGACACCAGCGGATATACCTGGTACAGTTTGACTGTTGATTCTAGTACTCTTCCTGACTTCTTGTGCAAGAAGCCCAATCAACTTCTCCCAGGTTCTAAGATCGATCTTGGGAACTCAGGACGCTTAACAGCACCCTACTGCCAGTGCTCTGCACCTCAGAAATTATTCAAATCTACTGTTAAGTAGTTTCTACTCAGTCACCTATTTTAGGTTGCTTGGTTTTCAGTAGAACTGCATATTTTTTACTTATTTTCTGCTTTGGATACACGAACCTGAGTTAAACATATTGTAAATGACTTTTTATCTGTCTATCACAGAGTATTGCATGACACCAGAATGTGTGAAAATTGCCAGTACGTTGTTGACAGCAATGGATAAAAATGTTGATCCTTGTGAAGATTTTTATCAGTATGCCTGTGGAGGCTGGATGAAAAATAACCCAATACCTCCTGGTCATGCTAGATGGGGCACATTTGAACTAATGGCTCAGAGAAATAATCTTGTGATGAAAAATGCAATAGGTAAGTAGAGAGATTATAATTAGTTAACAGTTTTTATTTTGAAGAGATAAGATCTACATTTTAAAATATAATTTCAGTATGAAATGACTTGAATGCTACACTAGGTTGGAGATCTTAACCTTTGCTGAAACACTAGTTACAATAAATCAGCTTGCAGCCTCTTATTAAAATATAAATAATGAAATTTATGAAATGTTTCCCTCCTTCCCCCCATTGTGTTAAAAGTCTGAGTGTATATACCATTACAGAATAATGCAGTAGCTCAGTTCATTAGATTCATTAGTGTTTTCTATAGCTTGTAAAGAGGCCAATTATTCTATTCAACTTTAAAGTTTAACTTAAATGACCTCACTTGCCTTTTAATTGATACCATTTTATCCCAATTTAATCACCTGTATTATTGATAGTTTGTGTTGAAACACATTGAACAATTATCATAAGGTATTTTTTAAATTTGTATTTCAACTAAAGAAAATTACAAGGTCTTCAAATGTACACTATATGATTGTTATTTTATAAGCTTGGAGAAGCTTAATTTTCAGTACCACTATATTTTTAGTTGAGTGTTATTCTTGCTTCAGAATGATCCATTTTTAAATTTAGTTTACAGTTATGGTACAGCCTAATGTTTTTTTTCTATTTATTAAAAAAGAATAACTTAATTGTTAAACGCACTTAATTTTTTTAGTGTTTAATAAAACATGTTTTGTTTTGCATTCCCCAGACAAACCCGATGCATCATTTAACAGTTCATCTGAGTTAAAAGCCAAAAAGTATTTTCTCTCCTGCATGGATGAAAACAAGCTGATAGAGAAAGCAGGGGCTCAGCCTCTTTTAAATTTAGTGAACGAGCTGGGCTGGGGCATCAATATTAGTGCATGGGATGAGGACTGGGATCTGCCCAAAGATTGGAATTTAAATTTAATGATTGAAAAAATGCACTTGTTAAATGTTGTATCATTTTTCTCTGTGTGGGTAGCAGAAGATGATAAAAATTCCAGTACAAATATACTACAGGTAAGCAAGGTTTTGTTCTACCATTTCAAATGATACTCAACACACCTAGGAAATAAAAGAAATTACATGATCTTTGTTTGGTTTGGACCATACATCATTTTAGTCCTTTTTATACATAACTAGCATGCCTGTCCCCGCGCGTTGCCATGGGGTGAGAAGAAAGTCTGATGAAAAATTTGAAGATGGATTCATAAATGCGTTATTAATCCTTTATTCTTAGACGTGTGACCTTGTTTTCTAAAACTGAGTTATTTAAATGTAAGCAATGCCTGCACTTCATTCTTGGATTATGTTTGTTGGGGCAGGTGTTTGCCTACACTTCCGCTAAGCATGCCCCAGTGCATAGCGTATGAAAGCCTTGAGTGTTCGTAATCACTCTCAGTAATAGTGAGGTAAAATACACTTCGGCGACTGCTCAGGTTCAGTGACGTAGAGGTGTGCTCTCTGGAGCCCCTGGTTACACTACAGCAGAACGCCGAGTACAGACCCTGATTCGGTTTAATCCAAGTTAGTGAACGACTATAATAATACATCTTATCCATATTCTATCGCACTCTTTAAAATGAACGTATATGCCATGGTGCTCACAGGAAAACATGAGCCAAATAGCACCCTGAAAGACAGCAGAGAATGCACCTCATTTGGTTTAGTGTGCGACTATAGTAACCCATCGCATACATTGACAATCGCGCTCTTTAAACTAACATAGGCACTATAGTGCTCATGGGAGAGCCCTAGGAACCAAATAGTCCCCATCCAGGCGCCAGAGGACGCTCCAGATTTGATATAGTCAATATTGTTGCTCATCATGTCTTTAGTAAATAGACCTTTTTTTATAATCGAACGTATGCGCCATAGTGCTCACATGGAATCTGTTGTAGTTTTACCGCTGAATATATAGTAGTACCCCTCCTCTGCTAACGGATGCCAAGTGCTACGACAAAAAACGCATTCTACCATGCGCGGCCAATAAAAATTTTTTTCTTCGCAGAAACCTTCTTGGGAGTATTCTCATCAACTCATCAACTCCTATAAGTTTCATAACACTTGGATGAACTGTGTCAAACTGCAATCGACTTTAATTTTTATAAATATTATTATTATATATATACAGAAGAATCAAATCGTGCCCTGCCAGGGCGCCGCGCCTGCGAATCCGAAAAAAATTTCTGTAGATACCTTCCCAGGATTATTCTCAGCAACTTCCCAAAGTTTCATAGCGATTGGATGAAAGGTGTAATAATGCATAAAAGACAAACAAACAGACACACACACACACACACACATTGCTTTATGTATATATATAAAGATAATTGCCCTTATGATAGTCATTACAAAAAAACTTTTTTTGTAAAATGTTTTCTAAATTTAGATTGATCAAGGGGGATTGGGTCTACCAGAAAGGGACTACTATCTTAATAAATCTATTTCTGAAGACAAGGTAATGGCTAAGTGCTTATTTTCTTTGTTCTATTATTTGTTTCAATATTTTAAATTCTATACATTTGTTCAAATTTTGTATGTATTGCATTTATTACTCACTAGCTGTTATTGGCTATGTTTTGCTCAATCCCTAAATAGCCATGTCATATTTTAGATGTTAACTTTAACAGTTGAGTTTAAAAAAAAATGTAACTGTTAAAATCACTATACAACTCCAAAAGAAAAAACTAAAAGCAACAATAACACTCCCAGCCCAAAAAAATTTCAATTATGCCTCTTCATCCCATGTAGCCAACAGACATTTAGTGTTCCCATTCTAGTTTAATTTTACAAAGTGCTAGATCTATATAGATCTAGCCCCAGAAAAAACAACACAGAAATATAGCTTATGAAGAAATGTTAGATATAAGCACCCTGAGTTTTCTGTATTTTAGTTAATGTTTTAATTGTACCATGTTATTAACTTAGTAACAGCTTTCTTTAATGTTTTATTTACTTTAGTTTTCAAATTTTATCTGTTATGAATAGTGAATAGATTTTTATTTATGTTTATTTTGTATTGATGCTAATTATAAGGAACTGTTTGATATTAAAGTTAAATTACTGTTAAAGCTGTTGATTTTAGTTTCTAATAGATAAATTGCACTGGTGCATCACATAGATTTAAGAATATAGTAAATTTAACAATTCCATAATATTGATTCGATTTTGATACACAATACACAATTGTTCAATAGAGAAAAAAAAAATTATCAAAATTATTTAATGCTGGCATTTTGAAATTAATGAAAATAATTGTGTTTTTAATACCAATACTTTTTTTTCTATTCAGGTGTTGTCAGCATATCTGAAATACATGGTTGATGTTTTTCAATTGTTAGGTGCACCTAATGAAACATTTACAAAGCAGAGTATGATTGAAGTTATAGAACTGGAGACTGAAATAGCCAATGTAAGAATATTCATATGCTTTATCAAAAGACATCAAGAACATAAATTTTATGCACTTAGAAGTGTGTAATTGTTTTCTAAAAAAATATATATTGAGGAGTGTGAAATTTATCATTAAACATCCATATATCTGTTGCAAAATAGAAGTAGAAAATTGCCATTTATTTACTACTAAAGACGAGAAAGTTTATACATTTATTTTTTGTTCGTGTTATGGTTGTCTGTTCTGTTACATGAGAGCATCTGCACTATGTGTAGAATCAAAATTCATATTTATGTAGAGAATAATGTTCTTTTTTTTTTACCAAACTGTTAATCATAAATTCATTTAAAGATGTTTTGGATCTATTGATAGGCCAAACCAAAAGTAATTAGATTTCTAGAAACGAAAAACAAAAATTAATAAACACAATAAATATTTGAGTTAATTTATTGAACTATTTTAGTCCTTAAGTATTGGGTATAAATCTTTGCTTTTCTATACTAAACTATTTCAGGCCATAGTTATTTTATTTTATTATAAATCTATGTTTTTTTGGCTATGAAATTTGCTAAATTAGTATATAATTAAATATCAAATAATATGTGCGTAATTTAACTTTATTAATAATACGAGCCGACCCGCAGCGTATCATACGCCACTATTTAGTTGTTTTATTTTCTACTTTTCAGTAATTCATAATTTGTGAATTCGACAGTACCAATGCTGCCACTGAAAATATTTGCTTTAAAACACTAACCCCCCCCCCCCCCTTTCCCCTAACCCCGACCCTACACCACCCCCCCCCCCCCCCCCCCGTGAAAACAGCCTCCTCTTAGTTATTTCTTAGTTACCTCCTGTAAGTTTAAAATCGAACTAAATTATCTGCCCCTAATAGAAACCCGGCTCTACGGCTCTACGATTTGTAAACATTTAGCTTTGTAAACGTTTAGCGTGACCACAACTCACCAGACAATGTGGGGGTGGGGTGGGGGTGGTAGTGATAGTGATAGTGATAGAGAGAAAGAGAGGGGACTGCAAGGAGGCGCTTGCAGCTTGTTTTCTAACGGCTCCCAGAAGAGAATTATATATATAGAAGATAGGATGCTAACTAAATTATCCCAATAAATTTGCACTTTAATGTATGTGCCACTCTGGCCAGATGATCGTGTAACAGTTACCATGTGGAAGGTACAGGATTGAGACAAATCATGTCTGTTAATTTAAAAATTTTTTTTTTTTTTGATGTGAATGATAAAATTGCCTTTCGGGACTTGTTGGGACATATGACAGGTGAAGTAGAGTTCACCTGTTTCTGTGACCTCAGCATATGAAGGGATAGTGTGGTCAGACCCATGCTCAGCCAAAATCGGTGTTTGTAAATGACAAAAACATGTTGTCTGAGGTGTGATGTCTTTTTGAATGTGGGGTCTGGCTTTTTGTGAAGATTTGTGACAGTTGGAGGGGAAGAGAAAGATAAAAATTGTCAAACAAACATGACGTCATTTATGCATGACCCCCGAAACACACAGTTATTTAAAAATAACAGGTAGTCTAGTTAATAACTAAAACTCTAGTAGCACCTCTTAATAATCCTAAAATATAGCATCAGTCCCTCCAACTGGGACTTGAATGATGAAGCTGTTGCAGTGTGACTAGTAGCTTCTTAGTGCAATTTGTAGTGGATGCCAATGTTAATTCATATTCATAATTCATTATTGTAAGCTAAAAATTAAGAAAATTTCTTTGAATACTAAAGGAATTGGTTCATACAATGGGTAAGAGATTTCATGAGCAACCTTTTTTACTTTCTCGTATATACGAAGTATAGAGAAAGTCTTGTTATTGTGCAAAAAAAAAATCTAGATTTTTGCAAATCTTGACGTTTTACAGCTCCCTGAGTCAGAAAAACATAGTTTTGCAATCTTGTACGTATGTCTGTGTGTGGATGTGTGTCTGTAAACATGATAACTTAAGTAAAGTTGAAGCTAGGTTGATGAAATTTCATATAAAAGTATTATATCAAAATCGTAGATCCCTATCAACTTTTTGAGCGATTTCCGATAACCAGAAGTGGAATTTTTTCTACTTTCAATATTTCAAAAGCCTATAACTTGAGTACTATTTCAAATAGATAAATGAAATTTCACATGTAAGTAAAAGATCTAATTCTCTGCTTTCTTTCAAATTTTGAGTAATTTCTGTTGACCGGAAGTAGTCTTTTTCGCTATTTTCGATTTATCAAAAAAATGCATATGAATTTATAAAGTACTAATAATATTCCGCACTAATACACACATTTTATTTGGCGTTCCCGTGGTGTGCAATTCTTTTTTCTAGGTGATTTTATTCTATTTTTAAAAGTTTAAGTATTTAAAATGGATTAAAAATCATGTCTATATCCTGAGTTGCCATCCCCTGTTGTTTCATATAAGAATATTTGAGAAAGTTTAGGGGAGATCACTCATGGTTTATTACTAATTAAAGAAAGGTTGTGTTATAATTTTATTTGGTGTTTTTCAAAGCAATGATATTATGCATTTTGTTTATATATGTAAATAACGTTGTGATGGTAAGGATGGGATATTTTGGAAGTGTTGAAATATTTTAGTATGTTATTTTACCAAAAAAAAATGAAAATTTAATGGAAAAACACATTGATTTGCTACCATCTATAACATCACTCTAGCTACTAGTGTTCTAGCAGTTGATTATACTTGTAGGAGCTCCCTACCAAAGCACCCCTCTACAGTTAATATTTATTGTTTGTTAAATGATTTAGTTAATATCCAACTTGATTGTGTCTTTTAATATTTTCCCCAACTTGGTGCAACCACACCACATATCAGATAACTGTTCCACAAGAGCAAAGAAGGGAGGAAACAAAGATCTATCATCGTTATGACCTAGCAAATATGACCCGAGCTTTTCCACAGGTTGGGCACTAAAAGAATGTTCATTCATTTTTAACCCTTTGAATCTTTATCTGCTAATTTAATCCTCTTAATATGTTTCTTTCAGAAGTGTTTTCAAAATATAAGTTTTATAAGCATAATACTCATAAGCTGCTGCTTCAAGAATAGTGACTTAAAATTCTTATCAAAGGAGCTAATGGCCCATGGTTTAAGTATATGTGCTAGTATAAGTATTCAAAGGGTTACTGAACCAAATACATTAGTGTAGGTTATGTAATTTTTTAAAATATCACATTTTCTGAAAGTTGGGGTAATAAATTTAGACTTGTAAAGAAATTTTCTAGATTTTAAATATATTTTAATGCACAACCTTACTGGATATTTTCTAAAAAAGTGAAAAAATAATTCACCTGATCTGTTTACATTATTAACTATTGGACTTTTATTCCATAAACAGATACAATGGGTCCATCTGATTAACCATCTTTTAAGTGAGGTTAATATGTCTGTTCTACCTACTGAAGTAGTCGTCGTTTATGCTCCAGAGTTTCTTTCAAAACTTGACAGTATACTTCTCTCTTATAGTTCAACAGAGAAAGGAAAAAAGTCAGTAAAATATTACTTATTTTTAATTTAACTTTAGTTTTTCTTAAAAATTTCCACTTCATATGTATTAAATAATAAAGGTTTCATAACTGTCAAGTTTCATCAGAATAAGTTGACATAATTTAAGAAAGGAAAAATAACTTTTTTTAAACAGGATCCTCACCAACTACATGTTGTGGCATGTAGTTAGTGACTTTGCAAGTTTGCTATCTAAGCCATTTCGGGATGCAAAAAAAGAACTATCAGAAACTATGACTGGCAAGTTTTCACCTACCTCTTTATACCTCAGAAAATTACCACATATCATAGTATTCTATTGAATATCCACTATTTTTAACAATCTGTTACAATTATAACATCCATAAATTCTGTTATATTGACTATATTTGTAAAGTTTACTCATATAGAATCTATTTTCAGGTTTGACTGGTAATGATGATGCCTGGCATATTTGTATAACTGATACAGACTCAGTTTTAGGCTTTGCACTTGGAGCTCTCTTTGTTCGAGAAACATTTATAGGCGGAAGTAAAGCAAAGGTAACGGTATGAAAAAATTATTGCTTTTGGATAACTTTTCTAATACTAGAGAATGGCTTGAAAACTAGGTTACAAAACCAGTTGCAACTTAAAAGGGCAGTTAGCTTCTCTGAACTTTCTAGTATATTGTTACATAACAATAAATGTTGGAATGGCACTTTCTTTGGAATTGGGGCTACATAAATGGAAGGTAAGCTAGTGACAAAACTGCTGATTTTTTGAGAAATCACAGAGGCAAAAGATTCTTAGAATATGTTGCTTTAAGATAATATGATATAAAATTTAAAGGCTTTAGACAAGTTGGAAATAGTGTTGAGTACAACTTCCAGTTAATGGAAATCACTTTAAAGTTAACAGAATCCTAGATCTAATACTTATTTATAAAATTTCATTTTCATCTGCCTAGGTGAAACTGTATTTAAGTTATTTGTATTTTTAGATGTCAGAAATAGAGTAAACCACTTTATTTGTATAATGAAAATCAATCGAAAATTAAAAAAAATAAACCCAAGAATATGATCTAATACTTAAAATTTCATGCACTAAACTGAAATGATGCACATGCTATCAATTTTTTAGAAATCCAAAATAGAGTAGCCTATAACTTTTGTTTACTGGAAATCACTCATAATACAAACCAAAATAGGTTCTTTTCTATTCTGAATGTGATTTCTTCCATCTAACTTACATGGTTCTCAAGTGATCATGTTCTTTTCATTACAGTTATTTAAATAGTTGTGAATTATTAAAGATTTAAAGACAATCATTTATCTTCACCTTTTTAGTGCATATAAGCTTGTTATTAAAATGTTTTTTATGCAATTTTTATTTTTTTATTTACAATAGAGCTGCATGACTAAAAACCAAATAAACATGATAATGCATGTATAATAATGCAGAAAGAGTTGTACAAGACTGCCTACTAATTTCAGAAAATTATAATTAATTCATAAAAAATTATTTAGGCATCCAAATAAGTCAAATTTAATGTCATGTTACATTGTCTTCAAGTCTTGACCCACTTGCCAACTTTGAAATGGATCTATCTGTTGAAGTGCCTGAAATTTTGTTCGCCTGTTTTGATGTATGATAACAGACAGACTGACAATAGACAGACAGATGAAGGAAGTTAAATACAATCTTATAAAAAGAACTTTCACCTGCCACTTTAGCTTGCTTTATTTGAATATATTTTGCTCCACCAGGCAAATGAAATGATAGAAAATGTACGATCTGCCTTTATTAACAACCTACCAGACTTGGACTGGATGGACCCAATCACACGAGAAGCTGCAATTGATAAGGTGACACATTGCTGGATGATAAACTATCAAACACTGATTTACTTTTAATTAGATTAGAGTAGATTTTAAATTCATCAGTTTATTAGTCTGTTTACCCTTAAAATTTTGTATATATTAGGGCCCCTTACTCTGAAAAAAGCAGAACTAACGAGTCAGGTTCAAAATTTAATTTTTTATTCATATTTTGTAAGCTTATTGCTTGGTTGTCTGTTTGAATCTTGCCTCAATTTTTCAACCATTTCTTGCAAAGCTTTTTTTTTTCATCACATTCACCCTCTTCCACTGACACATTTAATATACATGTGTATCTCTGATGACAATACAATAATTTATTTATTATAGTTTAATAATGGTAAATTTCAATGGGCAATTAGCTTTCATAATACACTTGGATTTATATAAATACAAAAGTTTAGTGTGAATATATTTCAATTAGATGTTTTTGCCTGTTAATGAAAAATTTTGAAGAATGTTGGCATTAATTGTTTCAAATTTTTCTCACATCTAGCAGTGAAAACATGTTTTCCTGATAAATTAACTTAAATCTCTCAAGCATTATTGTATTTAGATGATTATTTGTAAAATATCTTGTGTTAGAATTACTTAAAATTTTGAGTATTTTTCAATAGTATTTTACATTCTAATACTGATTATTAATTAGTACTGCCTAGTTTTGCTTAGGCTTTTAAAAAAAGTACTTAAATTCTAAATTCTAATTTTAAACCTAAATATGATCTCCTAATAGTAATACTAACCTTTCCACAGTTATTAATTTTACATTAACTTTACATTAATTTAACATTTAAATGCTTAATGAATTTTTTAACTTTATTTTTCAATTATATTGCTAATCCAAACATTTAATGGGATATGCTCATTACAAAATCACCAAAATCCAGATCTTTCGTCATGATGGGTTTTTTGCACTTTTGGATACTTTGTCCGTTTTTGTATTAAGAAAATAATAACTTTAATGAGAAAAATAATCTTTGGTGTTTTAAATAGGCGTACCATTTTTTAAAAATAATAATTAAAGAATAATAATTTTTTCCCAATCTTACAAGTTCTCTAAGAAAGGTTTTATATCCATCATCATATTGTACTTGGCATCACGGGAAAGCTGGATGTCTCATGTAATTGTTAATTTATTTTCCATCACCTCGGAAACAGCCAAAGCTTAAAATCAGCTTTACAAATTACACAGATATGATATTTTTGTGACCTACTTTTTGTTACATTTTGCTGTTTTTCTCAGTTCGCATTATTTTAACACTTAAAAGCCTGCTACTTTTTAATTTATTAAACAATGCTAACCATATTTTCAGTAATTGATCTTCATGCAAAAATAAAACTTTTATCATGAGGAAATTTTGATGGCTTTCATAGAAAAGAAGTTTATGGTAAATAATAAGCAAATTTTGAAACTATTGGATACTTAACAGGGTACGATTTTTCAGACCTTGTAAAATTCTGACTAGTAGCTTTTTTTAAAAAGTTGTTGTGACAAAAGTTTTAATATATACTAAAATATTAGTCGCTTAAATTTGATTGCTATAAGTTCATAAACGTTCTTAAAAGTACAGAACAATTAAAAATGTCGGAGGGTTTTGTTGGGTTTCCATAACAACCAAAATTGTTTTCAACTATTTTTTGCTGCTTAATACTTACTTTTATGTGCCAAACATAGTAAAAGTATTCAAAAGGCTTTAGATCTTTAATTGTAAAAAATAGAAAAAAACTCAGCATATCCCCTTTGATCAGAATTTGAACACTATAAAATAAACACGTAAAAGAAAAAGTGTTAAATGTAGCCTATTAGGACTAGTGAACTATACAGTGACGTCTACACATAATTTGTCATTACTCTTACACTTTTTGCTGGCAGTCATAAAAGAGAAATATGACAAATGCACAAAATATAAGTTTGGAATGTAAATATGTAAATAGAATATATATATATATATATATATATATATATATATATATATATATATATATATATATATATATATATATATATCGATGGTCCTGGTCACAAACCGTCTAACTCCGAAAATGCTAATTTTACATGAGAGACAAAAAACTGATTATTTCATTATTGATGGTTCTAATACAAATTTTTTTTTTAATGATATGTGCGAGAAACTCTCTACCGACTATACTGTAGCGTTTTAAAATGAGTTTTGTTAATATTTACAAAATTATAGCAGGTTTAAAAGATAGTCGGTTTTGCTCGGTCTAAAACTCTTGCTTCCAAACCGTCTATCTATGCGTGCGCAGACTTGGCCGTTTTGAACCGAGACTTTCGGTCTCAGCCACGTTCGTTCGTTTTGTCCAATGAACGTGATTTAGTTTTGTTCATGTTTTTTAAGTTATAACTAACGCTTCATAATAATTAAATTATAGTTTTGGGCTCATATTTTAGTTATTTGAGTTTATTCTACTTTATGGGGTCAGTTTTATTTTAGTAGAGATGTTTTAGTATGGCTTTATCCCTTTCGACTGTTTATTCATTATGGCTGTATTTAGCACTAGACTTGTTACCTGTTGAAGATTATGCTTTATTTATTAAATCTTTCTATTCACACCATTTTTTTACTAAATCTGGTGGGTGCTGGGTTTGTAGAATGATAATAGTAAAAATATAAACCTTATTGTCAGATATATTATGAATGAGACATAACACATTGATCACTTTAATAATGACTTAATGTTTACATATTTTACAAAATGTAACAAAAATGTGTTTATTTTTTTATTTATTCTTTAAATAAACGTCACATGAAGAAACATTAAAATGGCAACATATTTTAAAAATCAGGCAAATCATCATAAAAATGTGTATTTATGACTAGCTTTAGGTGCTCATATATGACAGCTTTTTTTTCTGCTCTTGTACAACTTGTCAGGGGCTACAGATGAGATCATAATCTTACGACCCTAGCTTTGCAATTGCCAGCTATCTGCTAATTCACTTTGAAGTAGATAGTAGCATCATGGTTGTACTGCAGTGCATGAATATCTGTCGCATTGAATTCTTGATAGGTCTGACTGGTCTTTTGAGAGCGGCTGGTCTCTTGTATGGTAAGACTGGTCTTTTTTAGAGAGGTTGGTGTCTATTGTCTGTTATGTGAGGCTGGTCTATTGTTTGTTACGACTGGTCTGTTGAGAAAGGCTAGTGTCTTGTATGGTAAGACTAGTGTGTTGAGAGAGGCTTGACTATTTTATGATAAGAATGGTCTGTTGAGAGAGGCTGGTCTGTTGAGAGAGGCTTGTGTCTTGGATGGTAAGATTGGTCAGTTGAGAGAGTTTGGTATTTTGTACATTACGACTGGTCTGCTGAGAGACACTGGTCTCGTGTATGGTAAGAATGGTCTGTTGAGAGATGCTGGTGTCCTGTATGGTAATATTGGTCATTTAAGAGAGTTTGGTCCTTTGTATGTTACAACTGGTCTGCTGTGAAAGGCTGGTCAGTTGAGAGATGATGGTGTCTTTAAGATTGGTCATTTGAGAGATGGTGGTGTCTTGTATGGTAAGACTGGTCTGTTGAGAGAGGCTGGTCTGTTGAGAGAGGCTGGTCTGTTGTGTGATAGGACTGGTGTCTTGAGAGAGGCTGGTATGTTGAGAGAGACTGGTCTGTTGAGAGAGGCTGGTATGTTGAGAGAGGCTGGTATGTTGAGCGAGGCTGGTATGTTGAGCGAGGCTGGTATGTTGAGAGACTGGTCTGTTGAGAGAGGCTGGTATGTTGAGAGAGGCTGGTATGTTGAGAGAGGCTTGTCTGTTGAGCGAGGCTGGTATGTTGAGAGACTGGTCTGTTGAGAGAGGCTGGTATGTTGAGAGAGGCTGGTATGTTGAGAGAGGCTGTTCTGTTGAGAGAGGCTGATCCGTTGTGAGAGGCTGGTATGTTGAGAGAGGCTGGTATGTTGAGAGAGGCTTGTCTGTTGAGAGAGGCTGGTATGTTGAGAGACTGGTCTGTTGAGAGAGGCTGGTATGTTGAGAGAGGGTGGTATGTTGAGAGAGGCTGTTCTGTTGAGAGAGGCTGATCCGTTGTGAGAGGCTGGTATGTTGAGAGAGGCTTGTCTGTTGAGAGAGGCTGGTATGTTGAGAGAGGCTGGTATGTTGAGAGAGGCTGGTCTGTTGAGAGAAGCTGGACTGTTGTGTGGTAAGACTGGTGAGTTGAGAGGCTGGTCTGTTGTGAGAATCCATTAGGTTGAGAGAGGTTTGTCTATTGAAAAATTAATCATAAAAGCATTTACTAAAGACAATTAACCATATCGTTGAACATGTGCGCCAAACATTTTGTAACCTACCATAAAAAATATTTCTTAACATGTAGATAAACCGTCAATCTAAAGCTAGTAGTGAATTAAGAATAAATTAAATATATTGCTCCGTCTTGTGGAAATATAATTCGAATAATAATGTTTTGATTGATATTTAGATTCTAGAATAAAGATCTAGTTTCAAAGCATTGTGTTAGCCTAAAAATTGTAAACAAATCAGTATGGTTATTGAAAATATTGAAATAGGCTATATTAATCAAATGCTATTTGTTTATTATTCTTTAAAATGATAAAATGTAATAGAATAGCTGAACATAATTAATCAAATATCCTTACCTATAAGTACTGTGACTGCTGTGCTGTAAAATGGTGTGATTGTGGCGTGTGACTGCGTTTCTGATCAAAAGTGTACTGACAAATAAAGCGACATTCATTTTGCGCCAAGATTTTTAGCGTTTGAAATAATAGGCGGTTTGTTCAAATGATTTTATCTCGATAATCATTCTATAGATTTCTATAATATTTCATACTGGCTTTTGATTTATGTAAAAAAAAGAATATTTAATTTTTTGGAGATAGACGTTTTGCTACCGAGACCATTGATATATATATATATATGTGTATATATATATATGAATATATACATTTTTGTAGATACATATATATATACATATTTACATATATATATATATATATATATATATATATATATATATATATATATATATATATATATATATATATATATATATATATATATATATATATATATATATATATATATATATATATATATATATATATATATATATATATATATATATATATATATATATATATATATATATATATATATATATATATATATATATATATATATGTATATATATATATGTATATATATATATATATATATATATAGTATATAGTATATAGTATATATATATATATGTATATATACGGTTTCATGACAACTGATCTCATGACAAATGATCTCACAGCAAAATTTTAATAGCAAAATTTTAATAGTATGTACTATGATTTTAGTTGATTTGAAAATTTAATGACTGCCAAATGATTCTGTTTACTTTTTTACACATAATAATTGTGAGTAAAATGAATTTGTCAAATTCAACAAAACATCAAAAGATTTATTGAACTCAAACTTTGTAATAGCATTTGATTTAAAAGCGTAAAAATTAAAACAAACTTACTCCTTTAGCTTGAAAGGTATAATAAATGATAATGTATAAAACAAATAAAACAAAACACCTCTCCAATACTATGTGATCATCTATTGTATTCTAACTTCCCATTTCCAAACCTCTTTGCCTGCTGCTCCACTTCTAGCTTTTATAAACAGAAATTCACCAGAAACTAATGTCCTATAATGCTGTCGTTTAAATAGGCGTTTGTCACATGATCACTAAGGTGTGATAGACACATAACTGTTGACTTAAGATGAGAGTTGTATTGTCCATGGAGGGAGGATGTCTTTCTTTTAAGGCATGTCTCTGCAATGCCTGGTTTTGATGGGTACGTGACTAAAGTCATGAAGTTGGTGGCTGGGCATGGACTGCTGTTAAATTTAATGTTATATGAATCCAGTTGTACTTTGATAGCTCAAAAAAATGTTTTCTTTATTTTACCTCACAAGCCTTCTCAAAATGCATGTATTTTCCAGTTTAGGAAAAAATTATTAAAAATTCATATTTTACAAATTTAGCTTATTTTTGGGAGTTGAATATTTTATTTGGCAAATGCTTTTTTTCATATGTTAGGTTTTTAATTTTTCAAGTTGAAGACTTAAGGCCAGCAGTGTTTTATATTACAAACAAATTTCTTCTAAATGCGCTTAATAGTAGTCAAATTTTGAAAATAAAAAATAAAAATGAATATTCAGTTATGTACCTAATGCTTAAAATCTTTACATCCTTAAAAGGCAAATGCTGTTACTGACATGATTGGTTATCCTGATTATATAATGAATTCAACTGAGCTAGATAAAAAATATGAAATAGTAAGTTGAAATTATTGATTGTTAACTAATAAATACATTTCTTCATCTACATTATTTACGATTTTTCTATTTACTTTTCAAAAAATTACTTCATTTTTCTAAGAGTCAGGGTATTCTGTTTCATAACATTTATATCATCAGTCATATCCTTTTGATAAATTCATAGCCAAATAAGTTATTATTGTTTCTTTTACTTGTTTACCTAATTTTATTTTCCATAGTTAAATATAAATGAGTCAGATTACTTTGGTAATAACTTGGCCTCAAACCGCTATGGATTTATACGTACTTTTGAAAAGCTGAGGAAAAAACCACTAAATGAGTAAGATTATTATCAATATATTCTCTTTAAAGCTCATACTTGTTTTTTTTTTGTTTTTTAAAAGAATTATACTCCCATAACTTATATCTACCTATCTATAGTATTTTTATATTTCTTATTTGAAAGGTGAAGAAAGAAAAAAAATGATATGCAATTTTAATATGCTTTTGTCATGTATATAATTAAAATTCTGTTTAGATGGGTTATGTCTCCACAAACAGTGAATGCCTATTACACAGCAAGCAAGAATACAATTGTTTTTCCAGCAGGAATTTTACAAGCTCCTTTCTTTGATAGAAGTTTTCCACAGTAAGTTTTAAGTATTTGTAGTATTATAAAAAAGTATTTTTTTCAAACTTCACTTGTCAAAACTTGGGAGTGTTTGATCTATCCAAATGTTTGCCTCTGCTACAGTAGGGCACAAGTCAACAAAACAATCTACAGTGTTTATTTAGCAGTCATCTCATTATAGGTACCCAAGGCAAAACCAGCCGGCATCTCACTATTAAAAACAAATCCCTAGGATGGCATGATCATTTAAAACTTAATCCAATTACTTGGTCCCCTTGATCACATGGGGGCTATTAGGGTGGGTGGGGGGGGGGGGGGGGCTTCTAAAGGTCTTTAGTCCAGGAAATGAATATTAGACTTACAGGTTTGCAATTTTATTCTTCGCAGAATAACATGCAATTAGATTTTGCTGTTTCAATAAGATTGGCCATGTGTATTGTATTTTTAAGATTTTCAACTACTTTTTTATTAGATCTCTTAACTACGGTGCTATGGGTGTTGTTATGGGGCATGAACTAACCCATGGTTTTGATGATCAAGGTGAGATTGTTCAAATAGATTCTAACAATCACTCATACATTATGTAACTTAAAGGTGTTCATTCTTAATGAACAAAAGAATCACTAAGCTTTGGCTATATGAAACTATTCATACACCATTTTTACAGGCAGAGAATATGATAAACATGGCAACCTGAAACCATGGTGGGATCCAGCAGCCGTCAATAGATTTAAGAATAAAACACAGTGTATGATAGACCAGTATAGTCAGTATCAGCTAAATGGGGAGCATGTAAGTAGCTTTATAAGAAGTGATGCTATCAAGCTGGAAACAGCTCAGTAATCATCAAAAAATTTAATAGGCTTTTTTCCACAATTTCTATGTTAGCACTTTTTATAAGCTTATTTTGTTCACTATGTCTGTCTCTCCTCCTGCCTGTCAGTCCTACTGTTCTATGTGGCCATCTTGACAGACTTCTAATGCAACGTTATAGTTCAAACATTTAGAATACATATGCAGTCTCAAACCAATGCTAGAGTATTTAATTTTAAATTTAATTAGATATTAAATAACTCATTGCAAAATTAATTAAGTAGGTTACTAGCAATTGCTCAATCAGCAAGGTGAACTGTTTTCTTTCCTGAGAGCTGACCACTGGTGTTAAGAGGGGACAGATAATTCTCTTTTAGAGCTACTGATTGGGTTTTATAGCAAAAAATTCTTTTATCATTCTTGGTGTCAACTGTATTTAGACTAAACCCTAGCAATGAAACAAAAACATAAATATTTAGAACAATATCTGAAATTCTGCTTTACTAACATCACTGGCAATGGAATAGAGAAGAAACAATGTGTACTAAGCAAAGTTGTTCTCAGCCATTTTTATGAAACCTTTAAAACTAAAATGTCATTTTGAGACAAGTCATTCGGAACACACCAAAAAAGACATGGAGTCCTTTCATCGCATGAAGCTAGTTGCAAACATCAGAGACTTGATCAAACAGATTTCACCAAGGAAACACAGTATTAGTGCAAGCATCAAATGAAGTCACATTAAAAATTGCCAAGCAAGAATACCTCTCAGACAATAGGAGAAAATCTCATCAAACCCTGCATGCTGAAGATGGTAAAATAAATTCTTGGGGATTCTAGTGCAGTAAAGATGCAACAAATATCTCTGCCTAATAATATTATTCAGGGGCTTATAGCAGCCATGTCCGTAGATGTTAAATAACACATTTTTATTGAAATCAAGCTTTCATCATTGTTTGCTTTTCAAGTTGATGAATCAACAGATGTAAGTTCATTTTAGCAGTTGCTTGTCTTTGTGAAATATATTCATTCAGATGATAGCAAAGAAGAGTTGCTATTTTGTGAAGATATTATGGAGAAAATAAATAAGTTTTTTTGTAACTGAATGATTAAAATGGGAAAATAGATTTGGGGTTTGTACTGATGGTGTGCCATCTATGCTTGGGTCAAAATTGGGCTTTCAGAAAACAGAAAAAAGATTTAGCTCCCTAACCAAGGTGAATACACTGCATGATTCACTGTAATGCCTCGCTAGCAAGACTCCTCTAACTCCATTGCTAATAAAAGTTGTAAATTATATTAAATCTGGAGCCCTAAACACCAGTCTGTTTAAAGAACAGTGCAAAGACATGAATAAAAATCACGAGATTCTGCTTTCCTACACTACGGTACACTGGCTTTCAAAAGGAAATGTGGTGAATCGTATTTGAATTAAAAGATGAAATCTAGATCTAGCTGTTCTTAAAAGTGTAAGGGAAACAAGACTTTTTGCTTTACTTTAACGACAAAGAGTGGTTGGAGAGAGTATCTTACCTAGCAGATATTTTTGAACATCAACATAAGCTTAACCTGAAGATTCACGAAAAGTTAATAATATTATCTCTTTTCATGATAATCTCTTGGCATTTTTACTTTCTCGTATACAAAGAATAGATAAATTATTGTAATCGTGCAAAAAAAAAATTGAAATTTTTGCAAATCACAACGTTTTACACCTCCCTGAGTCGGAATTTGCAATCTTGTCCGTATGTCTATGTGTGTGTGTGTGTGTGTGTCTGTGTGTGTGTGTGTGTGTGTGTGTGTGTCTGTAAACACGATAACTTGAGTACCATTACAGCTAGGTGGATGAAATTTCCAATAAAAGTATTATATCAACTTTTCAGCAATTTCCGACAAACGGAAGTGGAACTTTTTCTACTTTCAATTTTTCAAAAGCACATTACTTGAGTACTATTTCAGATAGATAAATGAAATTTCACATATAAGTAAAAGATCTAATTTTCTGCCTTCTTTCAAATTTTGAGTAACTTCTGTTGACAGGAAGTAGTGATTTAGGCTATTTCCGATTTCTCAAAAAACGCATGTGAATTTATAAAGTACTAATAATATTCCGCACTATTATACACATTTTATTTGGCATTCACTTGGTGTGCAATTCTTTTTCTACGAGATTCTATTCTATTTTAAAAAGTTTAATTAATTAAAAATGGATTGTAATTATTTTCTATATCCCGAGTTGCCATCCCCCGTAGTGTCATATAAGAATATTTGAGAAAGTTTAGGGGAGATCACTCCCGGTTTAATTTTTAAAAGCTGCAAAATTGGCAAAGAAAAATAAATCTTGGAAATATTTCCATGTTTGAGAAACTCTGCAGTGTGAAAGATGAATCTGATTGTGAGTTGAATAAAAACTTGAAAGAGGATTCTGGGCATCTTGAATATCTTGAAAACCAACTGCAGCGTTATTTTCCCTGAACTGAAAGAAGTAGAATCTGCAATGACACTTAATCCATTCTCTGCTTCCCATGATGTTACCAGCATTCTCGATGAATAACAAGATGAATTTTTAAATTTACTAAATGATCCCGCTGCACATACTGTGTTAAATGAAAAACTGCTCAGAGTAGTATGCACCATTCATACCCACACTTGAAATTAATTGCCTTTTGAAATTTAGTTTCTTTTGTGTCAACATATTTTTGCGAGAATAGATTTTCAACACTTCTCCAATTAAAAATAAAACTAAGAAATGAATGTTAAGAATGACATGAGGTTGGCATTAACAAAAACGAATGTTGAGGCTAGAGAATAGCATGCAATTTTACCCATCACATTAAAATAGTTATCAAGAATAATTCATATTGAAAGTTTGTTAGAAAATCATATTTTAGTGCTTATTAATTTCCTTACTAATTATGACTTTTTAACCCTATGGGAGTTGTGGGTCACTTACTTTTTAAAAAAGGGGGGTCGCAACTTGAAAAAGTTTGGGAACCACTGATTTAGAACTATCATAATGCAAAAATTGCTAATTGTTCATAAAAACTTAAATGTTACAGATTGCAATTTATTTTAATAATTAATACTTGTAAAAGAATATTTGGGTCTATTATTTAAAATTTATTTCTTCTTTTTTTATTCTCTTTTTATCCAGAAATCAGGTTTGTATTGGGTTGACATAAAAAAGCACTTTTATTTTTTGTGCTTTGCAAGTGCGTAACTAATGACCATAAAAAAGTATATGATTAAACTAACTTGTTTGTATTTTGACTGCAGGAAAGGGGAAAGCAAACTCTTGGAGAAAATATTGCAGACAATGGAGGTCTTAAATCAGCTTATCATGTGAGATATTTTAAAAATATTTGATAACAGTAATGTAAGAAGAAAGTAGAAAATCAACAAGTATCACAGTTTAATAGCCAGTTTAACTAACAGGTAGTTAGTTCGATGAATTGCACTTCATATTTTTTAAAAACACAATCAAAGAACATAAAATGTTTATAGAGTAAATGCCTGCTTTGAAAATTAATTATTGATACCTTCTCAGGTGCTAACACGTTTTTATAATCTTTTAGTGTACAGATGAATGCTTCGTGTATAAAAAAATTAAAATACTCATACAAACATCCCTCTAGATACCCATGCTTTACTTCACTGTTGCTATCTCACACTAATAATTATACCAAGTTTTAAAATTCATGTTTTTGTACACCTAAATTGTAGGCTTACAAAAAGTGGGTGAAAGAGAATGGTCAGGAGCAACTTCTTCCAGCTTTAGGCATGAGTCATGAGCAACTTTTTTTTCTGTCATTTGCTCAGGTACAAACATTGTTTTTTTCTTTATCTCTGCACACATAATTAGTTGTATTTCTTATCTGCTAGACACATGACCTATGACTATTTTAGTCACAATTCTTATGTTTCCTTTGTACAGCTGCTAAGTTCTGTTCAGGAAAAATAGTAAGCAAATCACACAAACTTTCAACTGAATTGGATTATGTTTGTTGAATGTGTAAACCATTTCTTTAACAGTGTACTTCATATTCACTGGATTAGTTAACTTTGCTTAAATTGCCATAGCTAAATATATTTAAAAGTGTTTGGTATCATTGAAAATGTTGGTGTTTAGTATTAATTTTAAGTGCCAAAGCTGGTTAATGCTTTGAATGTTAAATTTTTTACAAATACTTTCTTTAAATCCTCTCAGAACTTAGCCTCAGAAATTCAATTGAAAACATGTTGCCTTATTTAATGTTAATAAGGATGGTGTAATACAGCCACTATTTATCTTAAGGTCTGGTGTTGGAACAGCAAACCTGAGACAGATCACATGCAGTTTTTGACTGATCCTCACTCTCCAGCTAAATTCAGGTAGATTTTAAACAAAAAAACATTGAAAAAATTGTTTGCACCCATGTAAATTTCTTAATTGTATAAGGTAATTCTATTGGTCTCCTTTGAAAACTGTACATTTTCTTTCTTATTCTTGGTTCTTAATTATTATATGTGTCAATTGGTTATGCGCCATAAAGACCGTTGACTCTCATTTGAGCCTACATTTTACCAAGCCATTAGACTTTTTTTTCAGGTCCTGTCCTCTGAGAAAGCAAAATATATGCATGTGTGCTTTAAAATTGTAACTGACTTTCTACCATCTACTAGGTTTGACTCCTAAGTTGCTATTGAATAACTTAAAATCATCTTCACTTTTATTCAAACATTTGCTTTAAAAAATGCATGGTCAAACACACTATCCTGTTATTTGTTAACTAGTCAGCAAATGTTTTGTATAGGCATCTCTCCAGGCATTGCCCCACCTCCCCTCACCTGGGAGAAGGGGGGCATAGTCCATGTCAACAATAGTGATCAGGTCACTGTGAGCTAACCATCTAAGTTATTAAGCCATTAAACCATATTACCCAGAGTCCTCAAAATTTTGTCATTTTTTTATATTTGTTAGCGTTTGAGCAATGACCAAAGGAATGACTATCAGCTTTCTTTTAAACTAAATACTTTTTAAAATATCTAGTTTCTAAAAAATATCCAATAAATGAGACGCTAGCAGTAGCATCTAACGACATTATGTAAATATATTGCGTAATGAATTATTTTTTTTCCACAAAAAAATGGCCAACCATAGGGAGTTGTCAAAGCTGAAAATACCAATGTACATTTTTCAAACAAAAATCTTTAGTTTCCATTTTCATTCAATGGTAAATATCTTACATTTTGGTCAGGGTCATAAATTAGTATCTATAAATACTATTTAATATCCCAATGTCAATTTTGAAAAAAAAAACTGTTTCATCATAACTAACATTTTGATATAAACATTTATAACTGTGTTTCTTGCTAGTGTCCCATTACTTGGACATCATGATCCTCATAGGGCTGGTCATTACTAGTGTCCCACATATGTGACACTTGTTTTACACTTAATACAATGAAGAAGTTAAAAAAACAATGTTATTTCAAAGTATTTTATTGGATGGAAATATAGTAATGCTATAAGTTTCAAATTTATTTTGCACTTGAAATATAATTATTAAAGAAGTTATGCACTTACCAGTGAGTGTCTTCTTTTTTTCCCCCATTTTGACAACTCTAGCCAAACCAATGCTATAATTTTTTTTAGATTAAAAATTGTCTAATGACACACACAACAATATTAGTCTAAACATTTCCAAATACAATAAAACTTAGTTTTATAAATAGTTGTTAATAAATTATAGCAATTTTTCTTACAAGTATCCAATATGGGACACTAGCAGGATAATGGATTTCGACTGAACAAAATCCATTCATAAGGATTATTTGATTTAGTAACTGACCAGCAGAATTTCAACTTTCTAGTTTCTTTTTTCCCACAGAGTCATTGGCCCCTTATCAAACTCTCCAGATTTTGCCAAGGTGTTCAAGTGCAGTAGCAATGCCAAAATGAATCCCAAAAAGAAATGTGAGCTATGGTAATGTTGGCTTCTGCTAATGCAAACATTAAGTTACAGAAGAGTTAATTATTTTAACTATTTTAACTAGTCTATGATAAACAATAATCTTTGATCATGTGCATGTTGATTAATGATGCCATTAGATGTAGTTTACTTTCCAATGATTACAAAGCGACATATATTTATCACATAACCACAGTGATGTACATTTCTGACTTTAAGAAGCCACTTTTTTCTAAATACATCAGAAAATGTGTGATTATAAACTTAAATAAAAATGTATAAACCACAATAAAAGGCACCTACTTCTCACAGCACACTGACACATTTCACTCATGCATATTTGTTAGTATGAACATATGCAAATGTTCGCCTATACACTAACAGAGTAAATATTCAAAAGAGTATTTCTAAGCTTTCTCAGAATAATTGAAGCTAGAGATGTCAGCTTGTAAATAGATTTTAAAATTATTTTGATTATAAATTTTCTCACATGTTGAGGTCATTTGTGTGTCTAAACCTAACTATCATAGTTTTTTTTTTTAAATTATGGATGATCTTACCTAGATACTAACACAGGTATACTATGATATGGTATCTGCTTTTGAGTGTGTATCAGGGTATGTATGGTGAAAATATGTATATATATATATACATATATATATATATATATATATATATATATATATATATATATATATATATATATATATATATATATATATATATATATATATATATAGTGTATGTTTATTCTTATCATTATTTAAAACTAATGTAAATACTGTATCATAAACTTAATTACTATAATATAAAAATTTGATAATAAATGGGTATTTTTATGTTTAGCTTTTAATAAACATAATTTTACATGTTGATTAAACATTAAATACTCTAAATATAAAAGTGATTGGAATGGAAATGTTTTTGAAATCCATATTCTAATTATAATAACCTTTCTATCTTTCTATTGCAATTTTTTTTAAAATTCCTTTCATAAAAGCAATTTTAAGCATTTTTCAATTTCAAGTATGAGTTGCAAATTCAAAATTATTTTTAATTTATTTATATCTTGTAAAAGAGAAACAAGATAGATTTTGTACAATAGACAAATTTGTTCTCTTGTATTTAAGTTTTTTTAAAAATGTTATATTTAGTTTTATTTTAAATAATGGGCTTATTTCCCAAAATGTAGTTAGGTTGTCTAAGAAGAATCAAGCAGCTTTCTTCACACTTCAGTGCTAATTAACCAAATAAAATGAGAAAAATATAGCGTGAGACCTCTAATTTGCATTATTTTACTTCATTTTAACAAATCTGTTCTTTTCTGTGTAAAATTATTTCAATTTCCTGCATAACTAAAAATGCTAGTCATTTTGAAGTACTGTAAAAAAAAGTGAAACACTCATGCATAAACATATATTGTTTTATAGTTTGATGTTAAAGCTTAAGGTATTGCCAACCATACCTGTCTGTTTAATGATTAATGCACTTCTGGTACATACTGTCTCATTTATTACATTTTTTAAAGTGCTGTTTTTATTGATAGCCAAATTAAAAGTTTGAATCTCAACCTGCATATAGTTGTGGTAAATGAATCTCAACCTGCATATACTTGTGGTAACAGATTATTTTAATATAATCTAGAATCCATAATTATAAAGCCGTTCTCTGTTAGTGTTACCAATTTAAGAAGAATATTCATCATAGGCAGTTTTTGAAAGAGTTATTTTTTTTTTTTAAATTGAATCTAAACATCTATTTGCCAAAAAGTATTTTTTTTACTTGTGTTGATACATTAAAATTAAAATTTTTAGAAGATGCATAATACTGAATAAAATAAATTTACCAATTATACAATTATTATATTTTATTAGTTATTTTGTTTTCTTAAAAGAATTCCAGAGTAAAAGAAATCCGAAGTTTTTGCATCCATCATATTTACAAACCACTGGAATTGTTTAGTTTTTGTGCTATACACTCAAACTGATCTTTTATTAAAGGAAAAGATATATTTTGTATGAGGTTAACAAACTTTATCTTATCTATCTTTAAAATATTTTTTTACATATTTTATATTTTTACTGTACATAGGCTTTGTCAAAAAAATTTTGCTTTAATTTAGACTGTGTTCATCATTGATATATGTTTAACATAATTGTTTAATTGTTTAGAATTTTTAGACTAACTAAATAGTAGGTTGTTTATGACAAGTTCTGTTAAAATACACAATTGTTAAACATTGTCTACTAAAATTTTATAAAATAGTACAATCATTTGATTCCCTTTACATACATCTATAAATTTATAACTGCATCTAACTACATAATAAAAAAATAATTCACACAATTGTGCCATTATTTTACTTTTATTAAGGTATAAATGTGATGTATGCATATACACCCCCACACACACACACACACACACACATATATATATATATACTAGCTGTCCCGGCCAGGCCCTGCTCTGGCTTCTGTGAAAAACCTTTCTGTTAAAGACCATTACCTGTGTGTTTAGTAATCATCATAAACCCGGCATTGCCCACCCAAACCACAACCAACCAAAACAACAAAACGCAAACATAACGCTAACACAATTACAAATACAAACGAAAACAAAAACCTAACAACAAACCCAACCACAACCACAAACACCAATACAAACACAAAGAAAAAACAAACAAAAAAGCAAACGAAAACAAAAACCTAACAACAAACCCAACCACAAACACCAATACCAACAAAAAAAAAACGAAAACAAACCAAATCCAAACGCAAAACCAACCAAAAACACAAATACAAACCCAAACAAAAAAACATAAACAAAAACGAAGAAAGAAAGAACAAAAACGAACCAAATCAAAACGCAACCACTAACGCAAACCCACCTAAACACAAAGAAAACACTAACGCGAACATAAACCCCCGGGGCGGAATCACCTGTTTTAGCTTAATGAACGACTATAGTACCCCAACTTATTCATAGTCTTTTGCACTCACTTAAACGAACGCGCCTGTTTCAATTTGATGAACAATTATAATACTCCAAGCTTATCCGTAAAATACCTACAACATTTGCACTTGATCAATCCCCGCTAATTATGTAATTATTTTTTTTCCCAAAACCAAAACAAAGTAATTAAAAAGTAAATTCTTTTCCACAAAATGCAATGGTTTTATAAAGGGAAGTAATTGTGTTTTCCTAATTTATCAAAGGGAAGTAAGTGCTATAGGACTAAATAAAGACATAATTAGAATTGTTGTAAAAGATGGTATTTTTTTAAAACTTGTGTTTAATGAACATGCCGACAATTATTACTATATATTGAAAAATGAAAATTATTTCCTAACACTTTCAATACTAATTTTTTAACTCTTAAATTTAGACAAATGCGCACGATAATTGTTAACACTTAAATCCATGCAAGACCAACGACAAACATATGCGTTACATACAGAACTGAGCTTTATATATAAGAGATATATATATATATATATATATATATATATATATATATATATATATATATTTACAAAAACATACATACAACTAAAGATATGTAGATAGATCAATGGCGGCGCTAGGTCGAGTGTCAGACATCCCTCCCCCCCCCCCCCCCATCAAAGGTTAAAGTGTAGGCTATAAATATATTAGGGAGTTGCAATTGGTGACACTTCCCTCAGATTTTGCCAAATAGTGTCAATTTGTGCACACATTATTTTAATCCACCTATAAATGTTCCAGTTGGTGTCTTCTACTCCTCTCTCTCTCTCTCCCTCCCCTTCCCACCCCCCCCCCCCCACCCCGCCAGTAATAGCTTTTAAGTGTTCACAGCTATTAATAACTATATTTATCTATAGTCAGTTATTAATACAGCTGGATGTAACATTGTTTTCTCTACAGTTTGCATGTTTAGGTCATGGTGTCAACCCCTCCCCCCCCTCCCCCCCCCCCCCCTGTCGGTATCTTCAGTTTGTACTTAAAATAATTTTACCTCTAATTAACCATTCATTGAACTGGCTTATTTATTGTATGTGTTTAGCTATTTTTTGTCTTGGTGTCACCCCACCCCCCTAAATGGTGTCAACCGGTGTGGTCGCACCCCTCCTTATGAGATGGCGCATATATATATATATATATATATATATATATATATATATATATATATATATATATATATATATATATATATATATATATAAAGCAATGTATGTTTGTGTGTGTGTCTGTTTTTTATGCTTTACTACACCTCTCATCACATCGCCGTGAAACTTTGGGAAGTTGTTGAGAATATTCCTGGGGAGGTTTCTGCGGAAAAAAATATTTCAAATTCGCAGGGGTGGCGCCCCGACAGGGCGCGATTTGTTTTTTCCTATATACGGTATATAAAAATAAAAGTCGATTTTGGTTTGGCATCGTTCATCCGATAGCCATGAGACTTTGGGGAGTTCATTATACCACTTTAGGGAAGGGTTCTGTAAAAAAAAATTTAATTTCGCAAGGGCGGCGCCACGGGAGGGTCCGATTCTTCTCTATATACTGTATATAAAAATAAAAGTAAATTTTGGTGTGACACCGTTATCCGATAGCCATGAGACTTTGGGGGAGTTGATTTGGACACTCGAGGGAAGGTTTCTGTAAAAAAATCTTTTTTTTTTAATTTCGCAAGGGCGGCGCCACGGAATGATGGAACTTTTCTCAATATACGGTATATAAAAATAAAAGTCGATTTTGGTTTGACACTATTTATCTGATCGACATCAAACTTTGGGGAGTTGATTAGAACAATTCAGGGAAGGGTTCTCTTAAAAAAAAATCCTTTTTTAATTTCTCAAGGGCGGCGCCACGAGAGGCTGCTATTTTTCTCTATATACGGTTTATAAAAATAAAAGTCTATTCCGGTTTCACACCGTTCATCCGTGTACCATGAAACTTTGGGGAGATGATTAGATCACTCAATGGTAGGGTTCTGCAAAAAAAATATTATATAATATTGCAAGGGTGGCCGGGGGGGGGGGGAGCGATTTTTTGTTCTCTATACACGGTATATAAAAAATAAAACTCGGATGCGGTTCATCCGAGTGCCATGAAACTTTAGGGAGTAGATGAGAATACTCCCGAGAATATTTCTGCGAAAAAGAAAACTAAAGTTTCTTATGGGCAGCGCCATATAGGGTACAACTTTCGTCAATACCCGGTTTGGCGCCCAAAGTTTTAGAGCGACTATGTTGGCACTTGGCATCCGTTAATCGAGCGTCCTGAATAGCGAGTAAGGGGTACTACTATATTCAGCGGTAAAACTACAACAGGCTTCTAAAAATAACTTTGTAATACGACGAAATCCTTCTGTACAGTTTCGTTGTTGCAGACCGGACTACGATGTTGCCATCCGGTTGCTTAGTCGCCGGCCGAATACGTTGCTGACACTGGCTCGGGCACTAGCCAATAAGGCCGTCGTTGTCTAGGGGTATTTAATGATTCTACCCGAGTCAGCTACAGTGAAGTAATCAACGGAACAGGAGACCTTCTTAGTTTGTGCTGTTTATTAAATTGCTGAATGCCTGTACTGCTGAGCGAGGCTTCCCCTAACCGCTAACGTCGGGAGCGCTTGTGCGAGAGAGAGAGAGACTAACTAACCTGCCTGTATTTATACCCCTGTCTTAACCCCCTAGCTGTTCCCACGGGACAATGA